AAAGAAAGAAAGAAAGAAAGAAAGAAAGAAAGAAAGAAAGAAAGAAAGAAAGAAAGAAAGAAAGAAAGAATTTCTCCTCATTGGAGAAATGAACCACAACTGTTTCTGAACGCTTCTCCTACAGGAGTCCATCCATAATGAATGAGTGATGTGTTCGCTTGTCTGTCTAACTGTAACATGCAGATTAGATATCTGACTGAAATTGAAAACAGCTGTCATTTTTTACAATCTGCACCACAGTCTCTACAGATTTCTCCAGACAGACACAAGGCCAGAGCGCCGTGCCTGGTTTACCAAAGGCATCTCGCTGCCAAAATCATCTTTTTCTTCATAAACCAGGACTGACAGGGAGGAAGATTGGTTGTGTCCTATCTTTGAGCACAGGGACCTTGTGAATTGTAAGACCCAGACTAGGCCGCCCTCCCAGCATGAAACAAATTGATTTCCTTCGCCGAGGGGTCGGGACTCTACAAATTCTTACCAGAACATGATTTGAATGGTGAGAACAGAATTCCACCTCGCAAAGCCAAACACGGTTTGGATCGYTTTATTTCTTGTGAACACATATGAGTGGCTTCACAAGATTTAAAAGAATTGCTGACCCATAAAGAGACTCCTTTGGTGAGCAGGAGTTGGAAATACTTGACACACTTTTTATTTTAATAAAGTTTTAAAACCAGTAAAGTGTAAGGGAAGTGACTTATGTAAAATAAGGCTCCCTACATCTTCTCATAACAAAGTTATGAGAGAAAAATTTTTACCAAGGTTTTTCTCATTACTTTAATATTTGACTGTACAAAGTGAATAGTGACACAATAAGGGAATGTCAGACGAGTTCAAATTGATTCATAAAAGATTATGCAATCATTTATTTACACAAATTGAACAAATCATAAGTTTACACCTGATTGTGGATTTCCTATAACAAGCATCCAAGTTAAATGAGATAAAACCCGCGTCCGAATTTCTTTCACATTAAAACTCAGATTACTTAGATATAATAGACAGTAAAACGTCAGCTCTGATGTAATAACTAAACAATTTACTGGCACTTCAACTTAGGGTTGGCAAAGGACAGGGTAAGAAAAGATGATGAAAATTAGGGATTAGTGTTCCTGCTTTTATTTTGGAAAGTCTGTGACAACCGGATTAGCACGTCCTCTCTGCTCTCGGMCTTCAACTTGACACGTCACCACGAACACGTCAGTTTTACCTGGGGATGTCTTCTTAAGGCAAACCTGGTATGAACTGTCTCGCCACGACCATCAAGGAAGCTTGTACCCGCTGGTCCTTGGCGAAAAGGTGTTTTTAGGTGGTTTTTCGTCTGTTTCAGCCCCTGCTAGAAAGATTCCAGCTGAAAGTTCCGGTCGTCCTTCAAAATAAAAGTCTCCCCTCGGGAGGTAAAAACACTTAAAGAGACATGGGTCTCTAGGTGGACAGGAAGCGGCGTGCTCCTGTCCGGCTGTCAGATTTCCCCTATTTGACTGAATGGGCGAAATCCGCGGCCCGGCTGTTCTCCGGAGAGAAGGAGCCGGTCTTCCCGTTTCGGCATACAGGAAGAGACTGTCTGTCTCTCTAAGACGTCCGTGTTAGTAAGAGTCGGACGACTTAGATCCGCCCTCAGGCGTTTAGCATGAGTCAGAAAAAGAAAAGAAGATAAGAGAAATAAGACTTTGCCAGCGGCGCCAGTGCAAGGTCATGCTGTAGCTGTTTAAACAGACATTTGACAATATCTTCTTAGCCTTCTTTCTGATAGACTCCAAGAGGAATCACTGTAAAACATTTATGATGATTAATTAACATTTCTGTTTAAATAATCAGTCTGAACTTGGTGTCCAGATAAATGTAAGATTTTCTTAAGAAAACTCAAAATTATATTACTGATG